GGGGCCTAACCCGCTTAGATCTCTCCCTGCTCCTACCCACTTTGGGGCGCTCCATTCCCCCCTCGCTGGTTCAAACCAGCGAGCGCAGCGTTCTTGAAATGGAGCGGGTCTGGCTGAAGACACTTGGAGAAATTTTCAGGGTCGCCTACCGGACGATACTAACGCGCAGCCGCCGTAGTTACAATCTAGAACCAAAAGCCCCCCAAAAATCCGCACACAGCCTATGCTGTCGGCAATGATGAAATACCCAAAATTACATAAATAAACAATCCCCCGTGTACACTTAAGTGCTGCCCTGTGCTCGTTACCAGATGAAAAGACAAGACTCACCAGAGTAAGGTCTTTATGGTCTGTGTGGCAAAAGGAATTCCTTCCGTGCGCGGGACGACGCGACTCTCCTTTGTCTCCAAAAGGAACAAGGCTGGTGATCCTGGGTCGGCCAAACAAAGCCGCCGTCCCCACCGAAAAGTATCCATGCCAGACATGCCAGCAACGCCAAATTGTTATAAGAATTATAAACCCCATGAAGGAGAACTCAAAGGTCCTTTGTCTATCAAAAGCGTAAGTTTATTGTTAACAGCACAGTGCGAGAGCCAGCACTCCCCTCAAAAGCTAGAAGCATTCAGCAGACACTCGGCTTTCAACCGCTGGCTGTCTGGCTGGTGCCCTCGAAGTGGTGTTGTTCATGTTGACAATTGGAGTGCCTTTTGGGGAAAGCCCGGTCTCATCCGCTCGGATGATATCCACCCAACGTTGGCGGGTACATCCCTTTTGGCTAAGAATTTGGCCCTGGCTCTAAACTGTTCTGCTCGGCTCAAATGACGGTGCAGAACTGAGGCCCGGGTGCAGAGCTGCTCTGCCACAACCTCTGAGCCCCCATCTGTTCAGTTACTAGCCTCAGAACCTAGTCAGATTGAAACTGTGTGTGCATGTGTGTGTGTGCCTGTGTGTGCTCAGTTACTAGCCTCAGAACCTAGTCAGATTGAAACTGTGTGTGTTCCCCGCTTGAAGTCTAAAGCACTATATGCGAGGAAATCTGACCTAGGTGTCAGACACAGTAACTTAATAAAAGTTCAGACAGACAGAAATAGTTCTAGCGGTAGGGTTGTTAAATGTGGTTTAATGAACGTCAGATCAATCTCGTCTAAATCGCTTCTCATAAACGAACTTATTATAGACAAGGGCTTGGATCTGTTAGCGCTCTCGGAGACTTGGCTCCAACAGGACGAGTACGTTAGATTGAATGAGTGCACTCCTCCGACGCATGTTAACTACCAGAAAGCCAGAGCTACAGGTCGCGGCGGTGGTGTTGCGATTATATCACACACCAACTTGGTTCTTAGTCCCAAAACCAACAACGCTTTTCACTCGTTTGAAAACTTAACACTTTCAATCACCTGTCCTGGGTGGAGAAAACAAAAAGCAGTACTATTTATAGTTTTATACCGACCTCCTGGTCCTTACAGCGAGTTCCTAACAGAATTCTCTGACTTCATTTCAAACCTAGTTTTGGAATGGGAAAACATAGTTATAGCTGGAGACTTCAATATACATGTGGACGACAGCACTGACAGCTTAAACAAAGCTTTCAGCGCCGTACTAGATGGTGTTGGTTTTACTCAGAATGTCGAGGGACCTACTCACATTCATAACCACACCTTGGACCTTGTCCTGACCTACGGCTGTGATGTCTCCAATGTTGACATCCAGCGTCAAAGCTCGTTGCTGTCTGACCATTTCTTGATCACGTTTGATCTCGCTTTGGAGGACTTTCCTGTCCCGCAAGATAAAACCATAATGAAAAGAACCTTAAATGATAAATCTATCACAAGGTTCAAAGAACTAATACAGCCTATGTTGAATACTGCTGCAGGTGAACCTGTTCACAGCAGCTGCAGTCCCTCAGTCATTGACCAAACGGTGGGCAACACTATGGAGTCTTTAAAATCTGCATTAAATGCAGCAGCTCCTTTAAAACAGAAAACCATTAGGATTAGATCATCGTCGCCCTGGTACAGTGTTCAACTCCACACTTTAAAACAGGACGTCAGAAAATTGGAGAGGCTATATCGCCACTCCCACTCGGAGCCTGTCCACAGGGAGTGGAAAGCAGGTCTCCGAAACTACAAGAAGGCCCTTCGCGGGGCTCGAACTCAATACTATTCAACTTTAATAGAAGCGAATAAAAACAACAGTAGATTTTTGTTTGGTACCGTCGCTAAACTCACAAACTGCCATAGTGCAATCGAGCCTAAAATTCCAAGCTCACTGAGCAGTGTCGACTTTCTCCACTTCTTTAATAATAAAATTACATCCATCCGTGACAAGCTGGAGGAGGTTGCTCCTGCTGTTAGTGGTGGACAGGTTGAAGCGGCATACGTGACTTCCCACTTAGACTCTTCAGTGGGCCTTAATAAATTCATGGCTGTGAGCCAAGCAGAGGTGATCTCTGTGGTCACATCCTCAAAAGCCTCAACTTGCATGTTAGACGCAGTCCCGACATGGCTCTTCAAAGACATACTTCCTTTGATAATTGAGCCTATCGTAAATATAATAAACGCATCCATACAATGTGGCTATGTCCCACAAGCTTTTAAAACCGCGGTAATCAAACCCCTTCTGAAGAAAACAAACCTGGACCCAGAAATACTTACAAACTACAGACCGATCTCAAACCTCACTTTTATATCTAAAATCCTGGAAAAACTTATAGCTGAGCAGCTCCGCTGCCACCTGCAGGAAAATGATATGTTTGAAGTCTTTCAATCAGGATTCAGAGCTCATCATAGCACTGAAACGGCACTAGTCAAAGTCACAAATGACTTACTACTAGCTGCCGATAATGGACAAGTGTCAGTGCTGGTCCTACTGGACCTTAGTGCTGCATTTGACACAATAGACCACAGCATTCTACTGCAGAGGCTAGAATGTGATATAGGTCTTAGAGGAACAGCCCTTGGCTGGTTTAAATCCTATTTATCAGATCGATATCACTTCGTCAATGTGAATCAGGACTCGTCGCCTTATTCTGGAGTGGAATTCGGTGTGCCGCAGGGTTCGGTACTCGGACCGATTCTTTTTACTCTCTACATGCTGCCACTGGGAAACATTATTAAAAAGCATGGAATTAATTTCCACTGCTATGCAGATGACACACAGCTTTATCTGTCGATGAAGCCTAATCAGACAGATCAGCTAGAAAAGCTCAGTGCCTGCATAAAGGACCTTAAAATGTGGATGACTCTTAACTTCCTACTTCTCAACCCGGAGAAGACAGAAGTGATCCTACTCGGTCCGAAGCGCCTGCGTGACTCCCTCACTAACCAGATGGTTACTCTCGATAATGTCAGTATAATACCCAGTAACACTGTGAGGAATCTTGGAGTCATTTTTGACCAAGAACTCTCCTTCAAGGCTTATATAAGCCAAGCAACTAAAACGGCGTACTTCCACTTACGGAACATCGCTAAAATTAGGAATTTCCTTCCTAAAAGTGACGCGGAAAAACTCATTCACGCGTTTGTCACCTCAAGGCTCGACTACTGTAACGCTTTACTGGCAGCGTGCCCTAAAGCCTCTTTGAAGAGCTTCCAGCTCGTTCAGAATACAGCAGCTAGGATCTTAACAGGTACCAAAAGGAGGGAGCACATAACTCCGGTGTTAAAATCACTCCACTGGCTCCCTGTGGAGTACAGAATAAAGTTTAAAATCCTACTCTTAACATATAAAGCCATAAATGGCTTGGCTCCCTCTTATCTCCAAGACACGTTAGTGTCGTATCAACCAGGTCGAGCGTTGCGCTCACAAAACGCCAGACGTCTGGTGGTCCCTAAGGTCTCAAAGGTCACTGTTGGTGGCAGAGCATTTAGCTACCAAGCTCCTTTACTGTGGAATCAGCTTCCCATTTATGTTAAGGAAGCAGATACGGTCTCCACATTCAAGGCCAGGCTTAAAGCACTTTACTTTAATTTAGCATATAATTAGGTAATATATAATATGTAGTGTATATATTATATATATATGCTGTATTATGTTATATATTATGTTATATATTATTCAATAATGTATTGTGTTATGTTGTATATTATGTTATATATTATGCTGTATGTTATTCTTTATTCAAGGCTAGGTTTAAAACAGTCCTCTTTAGTTTAGCATATGGCTAGGAAGGTAAGACTCGGAGAAGGTTAAACTCCTCAGAGTGTTAGTCAAGCTGCATAGGGAGTCAGTTTGCTGGGAGAAGTATGGTAACTTGAGCACTATCCTCTCCTCCTTCCTACTTTATCTGTTTAGCATTTTTAGGATTCTGACTGTAGTTTGTTCATTGCTATTCACCCGTTGTCCCATTGTCTGTTTCATGGTACGATGACGGGATCTCTGAGCCTGGCCTCTTCCATCTACACCTGCGGACTGCCCCGCCCGACCCGCCTGGGAGTGCTTCAGTCCTGCACCGGACCTGTCCACGTTCAGCGTCCACTGGTCCACGTTCTGTAGCTAGCTTAGGTCCTGGATCATTAGTCTGTCCGTCCGGAGGAGCGGATCCCTTTCTCATATGGGTCTCCCTCCCTGTGGGTTTCCCTAGTGCTCCCCAAGGTTTCTCACTTTTTCCCACTGGGTTTTTTTAAGAGTTTTTCCTTGTCGATGCAGGAGGGTCTTGTTGGACAGTTAGTGTCCAACAGAAAGGATTGGTGATGATCAGGACACTTTAGCATTCTACAACATGTATGGACATTTTCTTCTGTGTGTGCTTTATACTGTATTCTTCATGTGTTTTAACTGTTGATTCTCTGACCTGTGTTGGTGATTTCAATGGTTTTGTTAAGTCCTCTGAGATGACTTCTGTTGTGACCTAGGGCTATACAAGAATAAATTGTATTGTATTGTGTATTGTATTGTAAGAGGGAAACCAGAGAGTAAGACGAGAGAGATCGGAGAGAGAGAGAGACACTTAAAGAGTTTAAAGAATTTGATGAAAAAAGTTTTTTCAGCAACATTCTAACTTAGGATTCATATCTGGCTCTTCCCTCGGAGTCCAAAGGTGTGGTCCCCCCCCCCCCCCTCTCACTGACAGACTGGCAGGCTCCTGGGGCCTCGGCGTTCCACATGTCCGGGTTCTTGAAAAGGTCGCCTCGGCACTAATGAATCTGAAAGCCAAAACACCTCATAAAGGAAAACATGTATTATCAGAAAAGCCAGAGAAATGGAAATGGTCTCAGGCTTGTGTTGGATTAAAGCTGGGGGATGTAAATCGGTGGAGCAGCAAGTTGTCTGTAGGATTTGACGGTTTTGGCCGAAGGAAGGAGGGAGGGAGGACCTCTCTTTTGATCTGGTCTAATGCCAGATATAGATGGTATATAGATACCGGATAGACTACAGAGAGACCAGAGAGAGACCAGGACAAGGATCAGACAGAGACTAGTGAGAGACGACTGAAAGAGAGAAGAGAGAGATGAGAGAGAGGCTAGACAGGGACTAGAGAGACCAGAGACAGACCAGAAAGACCAGAGCGAGACCAGAGACAGACCAGAGAGACCAGAGAAGGACCAGAGAGAGACCAGAGAGAGACCAGAGAGAGACCAGAGAGAGACTAGAGAGGGACCAGAGAGAGAGAGACTAGAGATTAGACAGAGACCAGTGAGAGAGAGACTAGAGAGAAATGAGAGAGAGACTAGAGAGGGACCAGAGAGAGACCAGAGACAGACCAGAGAGAGACCAGAACAAAAATACATGTGAGTAACTAGTATTATTATTATTATTATAAATATTGCCCTTTTTTGTCTTTTAAGATAGGTACCCAAACTTCAAATCATTATGGATCATAATTGACACACACACACACACACACACACACACACACACGCACACACACACACAAGCACACACACACACACACAAGCACAGGGGTCTTTGGGCGCTAAACAGTTTGTCCTTTTGCCTGGAATAACCACAGACGGTGTTAAATGTGCGCATCAGCCGCACCGAGCGTGAACCCGGGAGCAGCCGAGTGCACCGCGCCTCCATCTGCTCCACGCCGCACGCCGCCACAGGCCTTAACCTCGCGTGCCACGAGGCGGACCGCGGCATTAGCCAAACGGACCGACATTAGCCAAACGCACCGATATTAGCTGACAACCGGGCGGCGCAGTGGTTAGCATTTGTACTACACAGCAAAAGGTTAGGGTTAGAGTGACTGAGCTTGAACTTTTCTATATCATTTGATTGAGAGACCCGAGGGAGAAAAAGTTAGAGCAAAACTTTGTCCATGAGCACTTCCCTATTGGGCTTCATTGAGCTAGAAGGTTAGCGTTGTCCATCTGTATAGAGTCTATTGTCTGGAGCTGTCCATAGCGTTTCCTGACAAAAAAGGAAGCTCCATATTTTTACATTTAGCTGTTACCTGTTTCTCTTCATCTCTGGATTTTCTAATCTGCTTTTGGCAAATCAACAATTTTGTGAAATCCTTCAAGACAAGTAGAAAATAGGTAACAATTATTACTCGCTTCTGGTTCAAATCCCATAGCGAACTATCTGAATGACGTCACTAAGACACGCCCCCGCCGCCTGTCAACTCCCGCCCACATGTTTCGGACAAACACTGCCAAAATGAATCAAATACCTCTTGTCACTTTAGACGAAAATGATAAACCAGGGGCAAAATTCCACCATCAAACCATCAGGGATCATAGTGTAGACCAATTAAAACGTTGGCTTGAATGTCGTGGTCTTCCAGTAACTGGTAGAAAGTTTGATTTGATAAAAAGGTAATGGTGAGGATTATGCTAACATTATCTAGTCATTTAAATTGCAATGTTAGCGCCTTCTTTGTTTATTTTGCTCTGATTAACTTCCATTTATCAAGTCTGAGAGAGAAACTATCAGAGCTAGCCACACTCAGTAAACGCAAACGACAATCAATCAACATATTTAAATGTTAATGCTAGAATATAATATTCATACAACACACGTGCACAGAGGTTTTCAGAATTATCTGTTAAGGTTTTCATGACAAAAATACTTTTTTAATGCGACTAAAGCGATCGCTTTTTTAAAGTAGGTGAACTAAAACCTTTGGGAACTATTTTCTTTGCACTCATTAAATAAACCTTTTGGTATGAATAGTGACAGAAGTTTATTTTGTGTGTTCAGTTGGTACAAAGCCGTATAATAAGCGGACCCCAACGCGCTTCGTCTGTGCTTATTTTCCGATAGTCACGAAGTTGAAAAAATCCCTCTCATCTTTGTTCAGGTGTGAGAATTGTATACATTCTGGATTAGGACAAACAATACTAATATGGATTGATGGGGCTAACTACATTCAGAAGAGCTCAGACGGACCTGATACAGCGGTCCAGGTCCAGTCCCAGCTAAACGTAGCTAGGACTGGATCTGGAGGCTCCACAGTTGGTCCAGCGAAGTGTTTTGAAAAAACATGTCCTTTTTAACATTTTCATGAGAGAAATTCTGCTGACCACAAGCACCCACCTCTTGCACTTGTCCTGGTCTGGTCCTGGTCTGGTCCTGGTCTGGTTCGATGGTGTGGTTTAACGAACAGGTTGAATGTTACTGCTTTCATATAGTCCTTTTCAGAGTATCTGAAATCGCTCCCACAAGCACCATAACTGCAGTGTTTTGTTGTCACCATGATTCAATGATTTAGCCCAAATAAATACACACGCTTATGTGGAGAACACAGTAGTACTCAACGGAGTCGGACAGAGTTTGTCCGAAACATGCGCGCATGCGCAGTCATTGGAACTATTTTTAGCACATTTCGGAAACCGGACAGTGCCCTATTCGGAACAAGCTCTTTCTGAGTGGAGAGAGAAATGCAAATGTTCTCCGAGTATCTGTGTAGGTTTCCTTCAGGTGCTCCGGTTTTTTGGGCTTTCGCTATGAGATGAGATTTTCTATGGGGACTTTCTATGGAGACTGGCTGATGAGAGGAGGTTTTCACTCCAAACCTCCCCATACATACATACATGGCCCCATTCACTCTTTCCTCCACCCGGATCCATCCTCCTGGTGTTTTGCAGAAAAAACGCCCTATAGCATGATGTTTCCACCCCCATACTTCACCGTCTGTATGTGATTTTCCGGATTTTTCTCCCTCATTTGTTTCTCATTGCGCAGACATCCCTCATTCTTTTTGCAGAATTGGCGGCTGAAGTAAATACCTTTTTGCCCGCTAAATACGATCTCGCCGCTGCATAAACAAAATCAGCTGCAGGTAGACTTTTAATTACAGGAAATGTATTAAGCAATGTCCATTAATCACATTGACGTGGACTTATTAGACGGAGAGAATGCGGTGACGTTAGCAGAGATTCAAAACCCGAGGGGAGCGAAGCGGTAAATGCTGACGAATTGGAAACGAGAATTATTTTACGAAACTATTTGCGGTTCAGGTAGGAGCTCGGGCAGAAGACGCTGCTCATCCATCTCTGGGAATGGGTCACAAGGTTAACTCGGGATGAGGTTTTCTGTGTGTTGGATAATGTCAGGTCTGAGGTAAAGCTGGGGTACTTAGTCTCTTAGAGTTGTGTAAAAGGTGCATTTTGAGAAGAGATTGTTGGCAAACTTGTAGGAAAAATGTCAGTTTTTGAAGTTTTTGAGAACTTGAGAGAGCTGATTGGCTGAGTGAGGGTGGTCCTCTAGGTTTTACTTTTCTGTCTGAAAAAGTATAGAGAGACTAGAGAGAGAGACCAGAGACAGACCAGAGAGAGAGACTGAGAGAGAGACCAGAGACAGACCTGAGAGAGAGACCAGAGACAGAGACTGAGAGAGACCAAAGACAGACTAGAGAGAGAGACTGAGAGAGACCGGGGGCAGAAAAAAGAGAGAGAGACCAGAGACAGACCCGAGAGAGAGACTGAGAGAGACCAACAACAGACTAGAGAGAGAGACTGAGAGAGAGACCAGAGACAGACTAGAGAGAGAGACTGAGAGAGAGACCAGAGACAGACTAGAGAGAGAGACTGAGAGAGAGACCAGAGACAGACCAGAGAGAGAGACTGAGAGAAAGACCAGAGACAGACCAGAGAGAGAGACTGAGAGAAAGACCAGAGACAGACAAGAGAGAGGGACTGAGAGAGAGACCAGAGACAGACTAGAGAGAGGGACTGAGAGAGAGCCCAATAACAGACCAGAGAGAGACCAACGGCAGACCAGAGAGAGACCAACGGCAGACCAGAGGGAGACCAACGGCAGACCAGAGAGAGACCAAAGACAAACCAAGAGATAGAGACTGGAGTAGAGTACGGTGCAGTAGGGCTGGTGGAAACAGGACTTTATGAGGTATCACTGACTAACCCAGACCCTGACTCCCGACCTCTATCCTCCGTCTCCTCACACACACCCAGCTCATTCTGATCACAGACCACACTGATCCTGCGTATTAGCCCGAGCACGGTCCCTGGAGCTTCAATCCCAACCCACCCCCCCAAACCTGCACATCCGGCTGAAGGGACCTGCGGAAATTGGCCTTTTTCCCCCAACTCTTCGCGGCGAGTGGCAATTAATGCGACTGATGAACGTGTGGCGCTCTCGAACACAACTTGGCTGAGTGGGAAGCGAGCGGTGGGTTGGCGGCCTCTCCACGCCGCACACGCCGCCTCTCCTGGACCCGCCGCTTATTAAGGGATGTTAATGACTCCTCGGCCCCCATGATCTACTCACCTGAGGAAGAGGCATGGGCTCTTTCTGTAGAGGGGGGGGGGGGGACAGATTTAAAGAATTGTCTAAAACTAGAAAGGACTGAGATTTATAAATTTTTATTGGACCGCAATGTATAATGTTGGGTTATAGATCAGAGAGAGAAGCCAGAGAGAGACCAGAAATAGAATCAGAGAGAGAATTTATTTATAGAGGGAGAGGGACCAGACTTAAAATTATAGAAAGACTTGAGAGAGACCAGAAAAAGGACCAGAGAGAGACTAAAGAGAGAGAGACGGGAGAGGGACCAGAGATGGAACCAGAGAAAGACTTGAGAGAGACCATGACGAATGATTGGGAGAAGAGACCAGAGTTAGGATTAGAGAAAGACTTGAGAGAGAGCAGAGAGAGACCAGAAGGAGAGACCAGAGAGAGAAACCGGAGAGCGACCAAGAATAGAACCAGAGAGAGACCAGAATGAGAGAGAGACGGGAGAGGGACCAGAGAGAAACCAGAGATGGAACTGGAGAAACACTTGTGAGAGACCAGAAAATGAACCAGAAAGAGACCAGAACGAAAGATTGGAAGGAGAGACTGGAGAGGGACCAGAGAGAGACTAGAAAGAGACAAGAGAAAAACTAGAGAGAGAGAAGAGAGGGACCAGAGTAAGACCAGAGAAATGCTAGAGAGGGCCTAGAGAGAGTGTGGGACAAGAGCGAGAAGGGAGAGACCCCAGATAAAGACCAGTGTGAGACCAGAGAGAGAGAGACCAGAGAGAGATACACACCATTTTGACAGATTTTCAAAGGGGATACTTCTCTTTTTGCAAATTAACTCTCCACACTTTCTTACACCTCTTTGACATTGATTACAAAATTTTTCTTATTACTAACTCTTGCGTTTGGTCCGATTTCCTTTCCCAATAATTCCCGCTTGTAACCATGCGAGCTCGTGTGTCAGCTCTGCTCCTTCACCCGGTCATTAGCATCTCTCTCTCTCTCTCTTCTGGTGGAGGCAGTGGGTCAGACGGATACTGACCCCAGGCCCTTCCCCTCCTCTCACCTCCGCACGACCAGCGCAGAAGCAGCCAGATTGATAGTCCAAATCCGAGCTGACACGCACGGCTAAAGATGCCAATGGTAATTAATTAGCATCTCCGGTTTTGAGGCCGGCTCGACGGGACGATGCCACTGGCCCCTGGGCGACGAGCTATCAGGGTCAGGTCCGAGGGACATGGAAGCTACTTGTTTGTGAGGATTTCTACATTTGTCGGTCATTATAGATGTTTTATCGTGCTTAAAGGAGAAATGTATGAATTCATTTTGTTTGAATTTATACAGTGGTCCCTGGTTTAGCGCAAGGGTGATGTGTTTTAAGGTTTTAAGGCTGTAAAGCAGACACACTCAGAAACCAGAGAGAGACCAGAGAGAGAT